CGTCAATTGGAGAACAGCCTTTACCAAAGGTGTCATGGGCTTTGAAGACGCTCGAACTCGGGATGAAAGGGAGAAGCGTGCTAAGAGGAAGGCATGCTTTGCAAATCCACACCGTGATCAACTCCCACCCGGAAACCTATGTCCCCACTGTGGAAGGACGTGTGGATCCAGAATTGGCCTCCACAGTCACTTACGGACTCACTGTTAAGACCGTGTTTATGGAAGACAATCTTACTCGGCTACGAGTGATAGCCAAAGAAGAAGACGACTTCATTAATAACCCAGATCAGTACTCAACATGAAAGAAGACTAAATCCCATTTGGGCATTGCCCAAATTGTGACCACTTTCCTTTAGTTTTGTAAAGGTCATCAATGAAAATAGGGCTAAATTAAGACTATTATAGGGCACAGCCGTTAAGGCATTTGAAGTTCAGATTTAAAGGGTGGTGGAAGAGTTTGTGCCACACATGTCCTCTTTTTCCATGACACGCCCTCTTTTTCACGGGTATATAAAATGAGAGTCATCATAGCAATCCATAGTTAAAAGTAGAAGTCGGCAAATGTGTCCTCCTTTTTGCTCTTCAAATATGGCAACCCTGTCAATAGAGGGGATGATGCATACCTGTAAATCTAATAGGAACTAATCCATAAATAACAGGCTCATCACTAGCAAATAATTATTTAATAAGTCAATTAACCAGGAGGCGGTACACTTGGAAACTAAGTAATTTGTTTTTAGATTTAAGGAAAGAAAGGGAGGGAAAGCAAGCAAGCTCACTACTGGTCTGAATTGACTTCTGTGACAAGGATAGGTAAAGTCCTAGAATACTTGTGGAAGAAGAGGCTAATTTAAAGTGTGCAAGAAATAGCGAATGGAATATAAAATAGCTTGTGCATTATTGTTTTCTGAGAAGATATCTGAATTTTTACAAAGAGAAAGCACAACAGATCATGCCTATTTGGATTTTGGCAAACCATTTGATACAGCAACTGCCAAGGTGATTACAGCTAATACTGGAAAATAAGGACATGCACGCACTCTTTGCTGAAAGGCACTACTCAAAGGGAAGAAGAAGAAAAAAGGGGTTTTGATAAAATATTAACTTTCGAATTGGAGAGAAGTAATTAGCTAAAGGAATGATGGCATGACATGATAAAAATGTAATGAAATAGTACAAAGTAACATCGTGCATTTAGAGACAAACAATAAATGATATCTACTTAGCTGGGAATGAGAGAGAAGGAAAGAGATATTAGGACAGGAGTTGATCACAACTTGTGAGTTGCCATTGTGATGTAGTTGCAAAGAGCATAAATGAGGCATAATATTCAATGCATTTATAGCTGGGGTGTGTGGGGTGATAGGAGAGGAATAGTACTTCTGGTAGGAGACATGTTGTGCCCTACTTTGGTCCTCATCCTGCACTCAGCTGTCATCTGTGGCTCCTAGAAGCTGTTAGCATGTGACAGTGGTCACACTCTGGGAATGGCTTTGACTTGCCAGCTATATCAGGTGAGGGTTGCTGGCAGGTCTCAAGCTGTTGGTGATTTAGCGACATGCATGCAAAGACAGCTTCCAGTGGACTGAATGGATGAGACCAATAGTGGGTCCAGCAGTAAAGAAGGCATCATTGCTTGTTTTCCGAACGGTAAGTTTTCTGTTGTTTTCCTTTCCATTCTGTATTTTTTTAAAAAAAATATACTGTTTATAATAATAATTAAAAAATCACAGCAGTTTACAACAATGTAAAAGCATAAAGCCAAACCATACCATCTTAAAAAGTTAAAGGCAAAAATAAATTTAAAATAGACCTCAACAGAGCATTGTGTGTGTGTGGGGGGGGGTGAACTCTTATTTTCCTTCAGAGGCCTGGAAGAACATTTAAAAGTTGGCACAGAAGGCACCTGCTGAATCTCTGTTGGTTGTGGACTCAGCTATACAGCTGCAAATATAATGCTTTAATTGTGTTTTAAATGCATTATGCACATGTGACACTAGATGGTGATGGTGAGCTAATGGCAAATTCAATATGTGTTTTAAAACGTGTTTTTTTTTTAAAAAAACCATATTCACAGCGTTTTTTATATGTGCGTAGATTTAGAATTGGTTTCTTGTTGTTGTCAGATGAGCCTCATCAACTCAGGGAACAACCATAGACTCTGAGCTGGAATATAAGGGTTCATCAGGCAGTCCCTGATATATCTTGGACCCAAGTTATTCAAGGCTTTGTAAATCAATAAGAAAACATTGAACTTGACTCAGTAGCAGATGGGCAGTTGGAGCAGCTGTTTCAGCAATGTTCTCAGCCAGAGGTTCCCCACAGCAATCTGCCTGAATGTTCATTCTCTTTGATAACAAATCCTGGAAACTGTGTTGTGAACTCTGGAAGTTCTGTTCTCTATTTAGTATTGGGTATGCCTGATGCATTATTTCATGGGATAGGCCTTGTGCATAGTAAATTGTTCTCTGGTTTGAATGTTGTCATCCTGCGAGAGAAGATTGCCAAAACAGGAGAAAGTGAGGATTCAGATTTGTAATGGTTTATTTTTTGTGAACAAACTCCAGTTCTGCTTAGCCTATATTATGTCCCCATATCTATTTTCTCCTAGCTGAGTCTTGCTGGTTTTTTAAAACAAACAGACAGAAGCAAACCATTTCCATACTTTATATGGGCAGGTCAGATGTTTCCAATTTAAAAAGCTGTTTGTTTTGGAATCTGATCTTTCTGCTGCTTTTGTTTTAATTGAAGATTAATTTACTTTAAAGCTGTAGCGGCTGGAACAATCCTGAACTGTTGAGGCTGCGCTTAATTGAACATCACATGAAATTCATTAGGTTTTTGTGGTGAACATCATTGCTGCGTTTCACATCCATTTAAAAGATATACGTTGCTCTTGAAATTCCGTAACAGCTTATAATGATTTTTTTGTGTTTGTGCAGCTAATAAATGATAAATGGAATAACTGAGGTAGTTCATTTGTAAGCTATGTTTTGGACATGCAGCTAGTATCATTAACAAAAATTGCAAGTTGTTTTTATTGCACATTATTGTTTGTTGTGAGCTAAGCTACAAGTGAGCAACTACCGTATTTTTTGCTCTATAAGACTCACTTTTTCCCTCCTAAAAAGTAAGGGGAAATGTGTGTGCGTCTTATGGAGCGAATGCAGGCTGTGCAGCTATCCCAGAAGCCAGAACAGCAAGAAGGATCGCTGCTTTTGCTGTGCAGCGATCCCTCTTGCTGTTCTGGCTTCTGGGATTCAGATTATTTTTTTTCTTGTTTTTCTCCTCCAAAAACTAAGTGCGTCTTGTGGTCTGGTGCGTCTTATAGAGCGAAAAATACGGTAAGTTCTCTAGGTTGTGGAAGCATACATGTTGATGGCTAATAGCTTGCAGAGCCTATTCTTGTGACTGGAATTGGTTTTAACTGTTGTAACATTGAATTTTAAATGTTTGTAGCTCACCCTGGGACCTGCTGGTGAAGGCTGGATAATAAATTAAAAACAATAATATGGGGGGGGGACCCTTTATTCATAGTTACAGGTAGGTAGCCGTGCTGGTCTGCCGTAGTCGAAACAAAATAAACAAAAATCCTGCCAGTATTACTCAAAAGGATTGTGGGAATGGGTGATTGGCTGATCCCACCACCCTTCTGAGTAATACCCCTCCCCACCCTCTCATTATATATAAGGGTATGGTAACTTCTGTTTCAGTGTATCTGAAGAAGTGTGCATGCACATGAAAGCTCATACCAAGAACAAACTGAGCTGGTCTCTAGGGTGCTACTGGAAGGAATCCCTTTATTCATATTATTGTCTCTTCTAGTACTTATCTGCAGAATGAATGTGGGCTCCTCTACATACAAAAAGCTCGCCAAAGGGCTACTTTATACCTTGCACTGGAGCACTGCAGGAGAAAATTGACACTAAATCCAAATATATTTTTTTCTTTGCGTAAAATGTTGCAAGGTTTAGAATGATAGGATTGTAGAGTTGGAAGGCACCGTTGAGAACTGTCACAGAACCTACCTAACATAGCTATGAACTTTTGCACAAGCTCTTCTTGTTGTTGGGTTTTTTTGGCAAGGTGCTTGCAGATATTTTCCTCATGATGTTTGGATCCAACCCATTATCAGGCTATATAATGCTAACTATGTGGGCATCGTCAATGGCACAGATGCAGTACAAACATTTTCTGGATCTGTTAATATAATGTCAAAAACACCGCTAGGTCTGCTGTATTTGGGACTTTGAAGAACTAGAGTCTAACACCATCCAAAGGGCCACACTTTCCACATTCCTTTCTTAGTCTTCGAAGCACGAAGGGGTCTGAAACTGTCTTTACTTAGTTTTGGTCAACCCAAATGTAAGGAGGTATGTATCAGATTCACTTAAGAAGCCCTGCTGGATCCAGGATCCTGTTCTCACAGTAGCCAGACGCCTGTGGGAAACTGGCTAGAAGGATTCGAGTGCAAGAGCACTCTCCCAGACTCACAGAATTGTGGAGTCGGAAGGAACCACGAGGGTCATCTAGTGTTAGAATTCCTGCTCCATGATTGCAGTCATGGGATTGTTGTCTTTCACATGACGGTATATGTTTTGACTCGACAGAGTGGGAAGTGACGGAGACAGGATGTTTGTGTTACTGTGTTCCATGAAGTGGGACTGTTGTCCTTTGTTCATTCTCTTTGCTGTCTGATGTTAGAGAGAGAGGGAGCCATGTTGCAGTGCTCCGTGTGTGTTTATATGTAAATAAAGTAGATTAGCCAAAATGCTGAGTTGCTGAGGTCTGTCACGCGAGCTGCAAAGACTCTGTGGATCCCTAAGTGTGCCAATGTCTGTTGGCATCGGTCGCTGTGATGTTCGGGCTGAAGAAAGCTTTTGAACGAACGACCAGGAGGGAGAGAACATGCCAGTTGGGCATGTGTCTCTGCCAGGGTCCTACTCGAGAGTAGGCTGAGCTCCTGACATCTAGTCCAACCCCCTGCAATGCAGGAATCTTTTTGCCCAATGTGAGCCTCAAACCCGTGATCCTGAAATTAAGAGTCTCATGCTCTACCAGCTGAGCTATCCTATAGTCTTAGCCCCTTCCAGTAACCAGTATTCAGAAGCCTGTGACCATGGAGTCAGAGCATAGCCGTGATGACTTGTAGTGAGTTTTTCTTTTGATAGATGCACCACTATAGAATAATAAAGTGTTGGCCTGCAATGATGAAGTACTATTCCAGACCATCCATGACCTCTTTGTTAAGCCTGTTCCAAATTAGAAGACTTTACACTGTGTTTGCCTTTCTCTGTGCTTCTTTCTGATAGCTTTGTCCCAAAGTCATTATTGCTATCTGATTCTGCAAAAATAAGAAGCATGTAAGCATATCCAGAGATACGAAAGTTTATTGGTAACATATGTATGACTTGCTTTAGAAAAGCTACAGCTGAGAAAACCATGTATTTTTTCATGTGCTTGTGGGGAGGAAACGCTGGTGTTCCGAATAAAACAGTAATGCTCAATAAGAGTACATAACTTAATTACAGCAAACACTTCTGGAATAAATAGCTAGGAAATACACTGCAAGGTATGCCGGTTTATGAATAGTGTATAAACTATATCCTCAACCGTCTGTATTAATGACATTTCATTTAGAAATACATGTTATTTCATCTAAACACACACGCACACACTTTGTAATAAAGTCAGAAATATCATGACAAATTGGAAAGACACATTAAATTATCATTTAATGAGTAGTTTAATAAAATCAGCTTAGTTCATAAGATCGGGGAAGTAATAGCAAGAAGAAGAAGAAGAGAGACCTAATCCCATTTACTCTTAGTTGGAAACTACTCTCAAATTTCATTACAACATTAAGGGGGGAATCATAGAAGAACTGGTGCATTTTCGGTGCTAACAAATCTTTTTATTCTTAAAACATATAAAAGTTGACATCAATATTGTTAATGATTTGGATCATGGATGCTTAATTGTTACAACAATTGGACAAATCTATATTTTAGAAATGTTCACTTCTTAACATGAAAGGTGTATTTTTTTTAAAAATATATAACAACAGCAACAGTGGGGATCAATCACATTGGACAAATTTCAGTTTTCCTCCTACTGTGAGATGTTGGAGGACAGAGCTCTGTGTACCACATGGTCTGCTCTGTTGCCTCCCAGCGCAATAGCTGCCCTCAGGTGTGGTGGACACTGTACCCTCATCTTTGCTGAAGTAAGGTTGGTTTCTGTATGTGGAACGGTGGTGGGAAGACATCATCATAGATTCATTCACCGGAAGGTAGAGGAAAAGGGGGAACATGGCAGCATGGCGGGTGCAGTGTAAACACATCAGTGCAATCACTGAATTGACTCTGCTGGCGCGTTTTCACTGTGTCAAATTTGTAACTGTCTCGTCCTGCCCACACTGCCCCATAGTAATCAGCAGTGACGTGATTGACCAGAGGTCAGGTGAACAGCAGTGCCCCGCCATGCCCTCTGCTACTGAACGCCATCTTGCCCTTGAGCTCAAGAAGTGAAATGTATTTGGCTGACCACCTGGGAGCATACCCTGGGTGCCTTATAATAGACAGAGTAATAGACTCCTCTAAACTTAGAGAAAGAGCTGCAACGTCTAAGATGGAGATCAGAGCCTCCTGCGCACTATTAGCAGCTCCTCTGATGCCCCTGCCCACCTGACGCTGCAGTTCTTGTCAGAAGACAACAAGGTTTGTTGGGGGCCTTCCAGGGGTGCCCTGAAGGATCCCTAACTCTCCCATTCCCCTGACGTACTCCAAAACCATATAAATAGTCGCACTTGTTTCCAATGGGAAGCGTATACATAAAATAATTTTAAAAATCAAATAGCCCAGAAACACAGTGTTTCTCCATCCTTGCATCTCTCCTGCTGGCTTAATAAAGCACTTTCAGCTTCTTTCCCCATCCCCAACTCATCCACCCTAGGATCACAGCTTTAATGTTATTGGGTTTGCATTTATATTCACAGAAACTAAACATGAAATGTGACCTTTCCCCACACTTAAATATAACTTGGGAAGGGAACTGAGCCCTGAACTGAAATGGCTAGCAACAAGGCACCACTTAATGTGAGCTCAGTTTCCCCTTGCCTCATTAATTGGGTGAATGCATGGATCCAAAACTGAGAACAGGGCTTCTTTCTCTCTCCAACTCTGATCTAGAGGAGGGGTAATAGGACTGCCTACCAGTAAATAAGGGACGCGGGTGGCGCTGTGGGTTAAACCACAGAGCCTAGGACTTGCTGATCAGAAGGTTGGCGGTTCGAATCCCCGTGATGGGGTGAGCTCCCATTACTCGGTCCCTGCTCCTGCCAACCTAGCAGTTTGAAAGCACGTCAAAGTGCGAGTAGATAAATAGGTACCGCTCCGGCGGGAAGGTAAACGGCGTTTCTGTGCACTGCTCTGGTTCACCAGAAGTGGCTTAGTCATGCTGGCCACATGACCTGGAAGCTGTGCAGCGGCTCCCTTGGCCAGTAAAGCGAGATGAGCACTGCAACCCCAAAGTTGGTCACGACTGGACTTAATGGTCAGGGGTCCCTTCACCTTACCTTTACCAATAAACATGTGTTCTTCTCTTCCCCATGTTTAGGGACTATTGAGATAGTAGTAGGGCTATCACCATGATGTCCTGATGGGATAAAAAGAGACCTATGCTCTCAATGGGCAAATCCTATGCTCCCAAGTTTTGCAGTATTATGACCCTGTATGGTTTTGGTTTTTCTTGTTGCTATCATACTTGGTCACTTGGGATCAAATACTATATCAGTTAATTGATACAAGACACCCTATCAATTAAATGACCTTTTTTTTTTTTTGGTACCACTTTACTTTTATTCTGACAGTGCTGTATTCACCCACCAATCTTTCCACGCACAATTGTCAGGTTTCATGCTCCTTCTCTTGATTAGTTTCTATCAGGTATGATCAAATTTTGTCCATCACAAATGTATTTGCTTTGTCCAGCTTGTGGCACGGCATCATCTGAACCAACACATTTCTTCCCAGTGTGCCCAATTTCCTCCCTCCTGTAAGCTTCTTCACTCTTTGAATCTATGGATTATCTGTTCCTGTGTAAGTCCTTATGGATACAGCCCTGGATGCAGTTCCATTTACCCAAACATCTGTTTATCGGGGAATTCTGGGTGTCTCACTGGGCCATTTGGAGAAAAGAGATTGCACTATATATGAAACATGTTATTAGCGCTGATTATTTTGGGCATATGGCTTAGGAAGGATGAGGACATTAGGCGGTTGGAACACAGAAATTTGCATAACGATTGCACAATTAATAAGCAATTACTGCAAGCCATTATGTAAATCCCTGAGCTTGGCCTGGGCTATCCAGTCACAATAGTCCAACGATGAAGGCCTTCAGCCAATCAGAACACCAGAACCCTACAATCTTGAAGGCACTTGTACAATAATCTATTTTCATTGGCTCACTTCTTAGAAAGTGATTGGATGTGAATATATATGCCAACATCTGTATTGTTTGCAAGAAACAGGGAGCTATTCTATCACTGGACAGATTTGTCCATCAGTATTATCTATTCTTCATTGATGGCGGCTCCCTGGGATTCCTGGCAGAGAACTTTCACATGATTTGATCAAAGATCTGTTAAAGTATGCTGCAACTACATATTTAGTTTTGAATGGTACTCCTGTAAATCCTAGTGCCAGTAGCTCAATAGACCAGTTACAATAGCTCAGCGTTCCATGTGTATTTAGTAAATTGGGAAAGAGAAATAGCCTTGCTGTAAACTGTTGTTTCCTTTAAAAATAACCCTGAGTATAAGCAATTGAGGCTGGTCCTTTAGGACAAATATGGTACTTCATCACCAACTTCAGTCTGCCCTCAACCAATGCCCACCTGCCTGCCTTCTTACTTACAACCAATCTAGGGAGTGGTACTGCTTATCAGCTCCTTAATCTCAGTCTTGCCCTTGTGGAGCTCAGCAAGGAGAAATATTGGGACAAAATAGAATTTGTTAGCTCTGCCTGTCATTGGCTCTAACTTTTCCTTAAAAAGGTAAAGGACCCCTGACAGTTAAGTCCAGTCGCAGACAACTCTGGGGTTGCGACGCTCATCTCGCTTTACTGACTGAGGGAACCGGCTTTTGTCCACAGACAGTTTTTCCAGGTCATGTGGCCAGCATGACTAAGCCGCTTCTGGCGAACCAGAGCAGCACACAGAAACGCCGTTTACCTTCCCGCCGGAGCGGTACCTATTTATCTACTTGCACTTTTTGGCGTGCTTCCAAACTGCTAGGTTGGCAGGAGCTGGGACCGAGGAATGGGAGCTCACCCCGTTGCGGGGATTTGAACCACCAACCTTCTGATTGGCAAGCCCAAGAGGCTCAGTGGTTTAGACCACAGCGCCACCCGCGTCCCTAGCTGTTCCTTAGGACGTCCCTATTTTCACTGGAGAAATGTTGGAAGGTATGGAGTTATACAACCCCCGAGCTAAGGAGATAAGTAACTACACAAACTTTAGAAGACACCTGAAGGCAGCCCTGTGCAGGGAAAGTTTTTTTAATGTTTAATGTTTTATTATGTTTTTATATAGTTGGAAACCGCCAAGGATGGCTGGGGCAACCCAGTCAGGTGGGTGAGGCTTAAATAATTATACCTCTGAGAACATATACGGAGAAATGTTGGAGGGTGTGATATTCCACATAACAGCCTTCAAAGCAGTAAGTGTGCTAATGGGATGGGGCGGATCTCAAGTATCCTCAATTTAAAAGAACTGTTGCTATTTGAGATTTTTCCAAGAACAGAAATCAAACTCGTAAAGAAGAGCTGGGGACAATAGGCAAACAATGAAAAAAGAAATGCACATTTATTGCACAATATCTTGGAAAGGTCTTGAGCAATTGTTAAAGTTCACAATTGTAGTAGCTGGCTGTTAATCACCAATTCAAATACAAAGGGGGCTTCCTGTTTCTTTTACTGCGCACAAAACCAAGTCAGATCTTGATACTACTCCACTGTATAAAGTGCCTCCATACATCCCCAGTAATAAGCCCTTTTTCTTTAATCATTTCAA